AGGGATGGGTGCTGTGCCCCCATAACCAGACCTGGCAGGGGGTGCCGCGGGGGGGGGGGGGGGGGGTCCCCCCGCCGCGCCGCGGCTGTACTGTATCTCATACTTGAGGATGAGCCCGTTGGGGTTCCTGGGCTCTTCCCAGCGCAGCAGGACGCTGTTCTTGCCGGCCGGCTCCCACGTGACGTTGCCGGGAATGTTGTCAGCTTGCACTGGAGAGGGGCACAGAGGGGGTCAGCTCCTGGGGGCATCATCTGGACCCCGACCCGCTGCCAATCCCCCATCTCGAAGGCGCCAGGACCCCAGAGCATCCCAGCGTCGCCGAGGCGGGGTTTGGGAGGGGGCAGGCTGCTGGGACGTACACTCAGGCATGGTCCTGGCGAAGACGAAGGTGGCGGCACTGCAGCCCACGGTGTGCGCGGCGTGGTTGCAGGCGTGGATGTCGATGCGGTACTCAGTGAAGTGCCGCAGCCGCGACAGCACTGCCCGGTCGCGCACCACCTTGTCCTCGAAGATCTGGAAGTCGGGTTTGGGCTCGCCCCCGGCACGGCTCGGGACCGGCGGCTCCGCTGAGGAGGCATTGGCCGGGGACGTGACGGCCACCACGTCCCTGCGCCTCTTCGGGGTCCTGCAGGAGATGGGGAGAGGAGGCGATGGGGAGCCAGGATGCCTGGGTTGTCCCCCAAAATTGAGCAGGGGAGGGGAGACCATCCAGGCTTGTGTGGTCCCGGCTCACCTCTGCGGGTTCTTGTTGATGGATGTCACCTTCCAGGGTGGCCTGAGACAGCAGGAAATCGGTTAAAGGATCTGCCGATCTGCCAGGAGCAGCCACCGGACCCCCCACCGGGGCAGCCCCACGCACCCAGCCTGGGGGACCCCCCCGACATGGGGACCCCCCCCCAGATGGCACCTGGGGATGATGATGGAGTTGTGGAGGAAGTTCTCAAACTTCTTCTGGAAGGACTCGGCTTCGCCCTCCATACGGAGCTGCCCGTCGGCGGGGCGGCAGGGGCAGCACCTCTCCTCCGCGTCCTGCTCCACCTCGGGGCCATCCCCATCCCCGAAGCGGGTGTCCGCGCTGCTGGTGGGCAGCTTCAGACCTGCGGGCGGAGACGGGCAGAGCTGGCAGCGCTGCTCGGTGGGAGCATCCCCATCCCGCCGGTGTCCCCGGCTGCTGCGCTCAACCTGGCTGCAGTGCCCCTGCCCGGCAGCCCTGCCTGCCCTGCCTGCCCTGCCTGCCCT